TAAATTTTATCAATGCAATCTCAAGCATCACTGCAGATTTATTATTATTTATCATTACTATATCAATGTAATCTAAAACATGTAGATTTGTAATGTTATTGTTATAGATTTAAAGATTTAGTATATTAACGATGATAGGATCGACAATTACTGATTGAAATTGATAATGAATTATTTGGGATAGGATTTGGGATTTGGGACTTGGGACTTGAGATTTGAGATGGGATTTGGGATTTGAATGGAATTTGGGATTTGGGATAAGGTTGGGATTTGGGATCGGGTTTGGGATTTGGGATCAGATTTGGAATTTGGGATTTGGGATGGGATTTGGGATTTGGGATTGGAATTTGTCCAGTTTTGCCTTATAAGATTTTAAATATAGAATGGACAATCCCATTTTTCCGGATTTGTCCATGGCCAAATCCCAAATCCCATGAGTTTTGCCAGCAAGTATAAGTGTATAACGCATAAAATTTACGATCCCGTGATATTATCTAATATTGCATGCGACTTTTGGGACTCAGGTCCCAAGCCTGCTTGGGACCGAGTTTAAATTTAAAACTCGACTCCTGGAGTCGAGTCGGGACCGGACCGGACTTTTCACATCCCTAGTAGCCAGTTATCCCGATTAGTAAACATTTTGACCTGGAGTAGATTTTCAAACCGGTTTGGGATTTTAGCAAGATATGCAAAATTTTTTTTTTTTTAATAAAAAAATTGTTTGTTACATTTTGATTAGAAATTCTCTTAAAATTATTTAATTTATTTTATTAATGTGATTTATCAGAAGTGACGATATTACCAATAATAAATATATAAAGTGCACTCTATAAAAGTTATATCTGACTAATTGCTATTAAGAGTAAAACATACAACCTTTTTGTAATAAAAAAAAAAAAAAAAAAATCTATCCAATAATATAGTTAACAACAAATCCAGTTAATAAGGCGGTCATAAAAGAAGATACAAAATTGACCTATTTAAATTATATTTAGAATGTCTCTGTTATATTAAAAAAAAAAAAATAATTTAAACCTCTTACTTGATTATTATCCAATAAATTAAATCCACTAACTAACTTGGTTTTTTCAGTCATACTATTAGTTATCTTATGTGATTTTTCTGAATACATTGAAATTTGAACAGTAGCACCCAATATTGAATCTATAATTGATCCAATTAATCCTGCTATTGAAGCTACCGGAATTACTTCAATATATAATCGATTGCATCCATCTGCAAAATAAATATATATTACTGCAGATATACCAATAACAAAACCACCCAAAATCGAAGCGAATAAACCTAACGGAGATACACCTCCATTTGTCCCTGGGGGAACCTAAAAAAATTTTTTATCATTAAATGAATTGCTAAAAAAATGATATCATTAATACATACTTTACCTTTTTAAATGTAGTAATTAAAACAGGCCAACCTTTATTAAGAATTCCAAGTTCGCTGGCCCACTACAGTAAACATCAATATTTATTTATTAACCTACATTGAATATTGATTTATAACAAAAGTCTTAATTTTGCGGTTCAATGATTCGATGGCACGTCTTAATTTTTTGCATTACGAAATTTAGGGTCTTTACTAATGAAATAATACATAGATACTACCATAGATTCTATGTAAATTTGATAGCAAAGATCTATAATTTGTGATGCAAAAAAAAAATTTCGGGGGGCGACGTTATACACCGAAATATTGGCTCGTAAATTTACGCAAAGGTAGCTGTTTATATGGAGTTCTAAAACCTTGCAAGAATTTTTACCGTATCTCCATTACATGTCGAATAATGCCTAATTCAATATTATGATATTACAGTTATAAAAACAACTATAAATAACTTACGAGATATAGAACCAAAAAGAATAATTTATAAAGAATAATGATAATAATAATCATACCCAATATACATCCAAAATAACAGTCTTGACCCACGATCATTTAGAAAACATTTTAGTTGTCCACCATAATAATATTGATGAATTAAACAAATAATTGTTCCTGTAAAAGCGCTACATGCAACTTGCATAGCAGTTCTTTGACCGCCTACACAAATAAGTTGCAGAATTCACATAATGAGGTTTTTTTTCTAAATTCTTGAACTTCGACTCAGAACAGACGAAGTTTACTTAGAAGTTTCACGCACCATCATGATAATCTTCCTCGAGTTGTTTTTTCCTTTCTGCCTTATACTAAGAGCAAACATATAAGCATAAAAAACCAGGTAGGAAAAAGTGAAATAGCAAGTCTCATATAGTAATAACCTTAGTTAACTTAGATCCGGTAAAATAAAATACGAGCAACACCACTGTAAATACAAGCCAATCATTGGACAAAGTTCCAATACCTGCAAAGAAAGAACACAATGCACCAGACGTTGATAGTGACTTATTACGTAAACCATGGAATGCTAATGCTGAAGATATTATTACGGCTATTAATATATGCATTTCCTTCAATGGATGCAGTTATCCCAGTGACGTTCTGTGGAGTAACGCATATACGTTTTTCAAATCCGGGTTACTCACCTTGTAAAAAAAAAAAAAGATTTAATTGGCTAAAATATGGTCATGTATCATGCATTGTTTTAGTTTTAAACTGTAAACGGAAATGAGAGTTCCACAAATTTCATTCCCTGAAGCGGGTTAGTCATGGCAGAAAAATGTCGAGATCACGCGATCAGAGATCATTTCCGACCGTAATCGGAAAGAGCTCAAAAGATAATCTTATTAACATACGTTAAAGACATGCTTCGAAAAAACATGTTAAGATTTTTGTAAGAGGTTTGTACAAAAATCTTAACATGTTTTTTTCGAAGCATGTCTTTAACGTATGTTAATAAGATTATCTTTTGAGCTCTTTCCGATTACGGTCGGAAATGATTGCGTGATCTCGACATCTTTTTGCCATGACTAACCCACTTTATACCTTGACAACGGGATGGTCTAAAAGCTACATTAATTCAACTTCCCCAACATCTTGTACGAATGTTCTGACCTAGGTTGCACACTGTTTTGTGAATGTTTGTTTTTTTATTTTTGCATCGAATTTTTTTTACTGAAAGAATTTGATCATTCCTAAATTCACATTACACATTAGATAACGTAACTAGCAAATAATATGATTTAGAATACTAGATTCTATTCCTCTTCTCCATCCTACTCAGGAAATTGTGAACTTTTCTTAACCGTTGAATTTAGCTATATTTAACTTTATATAGATATCAAAATACACCTTATTTTTATTGATTTTTTGATAATTTGAGTCAATTTACAACATTCACAACTCATTTTATATTTTTTTTAACTACATTTTGAAACCTCCCAATACACTTCGTTTTCACATTGACTATCAAGAGTATTGCGAAAGACGTTACAAAACATGCACTTGAAATTCTACCTAACGGCTAATGCCTACGACATATCATACAACATGTAAATTCTTATCAATCGTTAAATAGATACCTATACCTACAATTTTCGATTACATGATTTTACCGACTTGCTTGATTTCAACCCTATATATTAAAATTTTATTTATTTTTATTTTATTCGATACATTTTGTCATTCGACAAAATTACATTATAATTTCAGGTATTAATATAATCGTAATAGAATCAATGAAATGAATATAATATTTTGCTTATGCTGCATTTCTAGCTGGAGGTCGATGTGAGCAGGATACTTTCCATAAAATCATTTCATCTATATAACTATACAAAAAGAAATGTAAATAAAAATTTAAGAAATCCTTGAAAATTGTATACATTATATAAGGGTTTCACCTTTCTGTTCTTTCTAGATCACTCCATAACCCATCGATAAGGGATTCCGTATGGTAATATTGCGATATTATAGTTTCTAAGCCTACGTTTATGATTGCGTCCTCGCCCAGATTGCTATTTTAAAGCCGATATTGAACATTTACATGTGATTGGCATAGTATATAAATGACGAGAAATAATTTTACCTGATTTCTACATTCATAGAATCATCATTTTGTGAAGTTTCAATGATGTCTACATTTATAAAATGAGTCGATTGATTTTTACGAATTTAATTAAAATATATACCATAAAATAATTATGTCGAAATACCTGGATTGCACTTAAGCCCATTATGTAATTGTGATATGTATTCCAACTGTTTAAAAAGATCTTCGATAATATGTAAACACTTTTGTACTTTGATAAAATATCAAAATGAATTACTAAAAAAAAAGCAAGTTTATATTAGACATTTGATGCCTATGCCAGAACATACCTTCACAGTTAGCTTTAGCAACAGTTTTATTATCAAATATATATTTCGATGTATGATAAATATAACGCAATGATCCAAATAAACTTGTTATGCTTAACGTGATATTTTCATAAGTTTGTCTAAAAAAGAATGCGCGATTAAATTAAATCAACAAAAATTTAGAGTAATTTTATTAAATTTCTTACAACAAACTTTCTTTAAATATTTTGTTTTTTTTTAAAGTTTGCTGCTTTTGTCTTAAGGCTATTTTCCGGACGTTGATCGCCGTTTTCAACCTTTGGTAAATAATTATTAAATTTAACATTACAAATAAATAATTATCAAAAAAAGCTAGAAATTATACCTATCGGTTTCACGTCCTGATCTTTGCTGCCACATTTATTTTTCGTGTAGAGTTTAGATTCATTTTATTTTAATCGATTAAATATTAATTAATCATTTAATTAATCATGATTAATGTGTGATTAATCAATAATATTAATTCCTGATTAATAATATAATGTATTAACTATTATTAATTGCACGGATTAATGACGAAATTTGTACTTATTTTAATGTGAAATTTAAAAATTTTTTACATGTATTTTCTTGGCTTTTTTTTTTAGAGTTAGGTTATAATTTAGGGTTAAGGTTATTTAGAAAAGAATATAAGTAGATTTTGGTAGGATTTATATTTTCAAAAAGAGAACTTAAATTTCACTATAATTCGTGATATTAATTTAATTAATATAATATTTAATTATTTGGACTTTATGTACAATTTAAAAATTCTAGTCAAAATTACTATCAGTTATAATTTTTTAGTATTCTAGATTTTGACTACTTCGCTAAATTTACACTTCATTATTATGATGCAAACTCTCATTATCTCATAATTCACCTCAACATCTACGAGGCACTTTTAAGTAATTTATAGCCCACTTAATCATTTCTATTTCACACTACATGACTAGTGTTTCTAATCGAATAAATGATATTACGGTAGAATTTATTCGATTAATATCTATTAAATCGAATAATCGGATAATTATATATACAAGTCACTCTCGTTATAGTGAACCTTCGATATAGTGAAGATTGGCTTATAGTGAATTATTTTTTTGGGACAAATCCATTACTAATAATTTTTTGCTCGATATAATGAAGTTTAATAGTAAACTCGCGATATAAGATATAGTGAAGATTTTTTTGAACAGGTATAATAAAATGTCTCGCGATACAACGAAGATCACATCACGTGACATTTTTTAGCCAATCATATTGATGTACCGGTATCACACTAAATCGATATGCATAAATGAGCACTATCGTTATACTGAGGTAAAATTACTTGACATTTTTGAACTTTAAAAATTTTTTTTTTTTTTTTTGCTCAAAGAAATTAACCATCTACTTGAGCTGGAGTTCTTGCAATTTCATGAAACTTATAAAGTCCATTGAATTTTATGTGTTTTAAAGAAAGAAAATTATTAGCAGAGGCGCTTTACTTTATGAATATCTCAACATATGTAAAAGTCTACGATTAGACAACCACTATTCCCGGAAAATGTTTCAGCGAAAGCAGATAAAATCAACTACTCGAACGGATTATAAGAAGAGGCAATATAAAACTAATTTATTTTGGCAAAGTGCGTCTCGTGGCGTTTATGCTAAAGATTCAAAAAAAAAAAAAAAAAAAAAGATTCAAAAAAAAAAAAAAAAAAGATTCAATAAAAAAGCGCTAGAACAAAGAAATTCCTTAAAACAGAAAGATAATAAATATGAATTTACTTATAGAATGATTATCAGTAGCAAAATGTCGATTTTATTCTTTCAAAATCCATAAAATCCACCTAATTAAATATTACTTACATGCGATGCTCTCTCACATGTGTTTGTTTTTCGCATATATGTTTCTTTACAATTAAAAATTATAAAACCTTTGAAAGAACTAAAATATTCCAAATTTATCAATCCATGTGTGTTCGGGGAATTAATTGGAGCAGTGCTTTGTTGATAATATTATATCTGTTGGATGCGGTTATTCTCATATTCTTATTCGATTACTTATTTAATACAACAAAAGAATGTATATATTTTTTTTATATTGCAAAAAAAAATAAAAAATATCAGAACAAAATGTAGTCTATTTTTAAACGTCAAATATATATATTATATAAAAAAAAAAATTTTTTTAGAATAAAATAAATATGTGTGACAACATTAGTAAGGTGATAAAAGACGATGATGTCATGATTAGTAGTAGTAGCACCCAACCCTAATATAACATATAAGTTGATGCCGATCTTATACTTTTAAAAAAAGGATTTTTTTTTTTTTATTAATTCTGTAATGTAAGCGGCGTACAATTGAATTTTATATTACTGTATTTAAAAAATTCATATATATAAACAACCCTTCACAGAAAAAAAAAAAGTAGGAAAAAAAAAATATTATCTAACAAAATAAAAAAAAATGTTATATCAACCATACGAACAACAGCAATATACCGAAGCAATTTCAATTTTAGCGAGTCACCATCCTAAACCTACACTTGTTTATTATACACCTCCTCCTTCCCCTATGGCGAATAATCTAGGCCATCCTAATAGATCTTGCGTTTCCTGCAAAAAACGCAAGGTGAAATGTGATAGAAAAACACCTTCATGTGCTGCGTGCTTAAAATCCAAACACCGCTGCCATTACACGTCTTATTCACCTCCCGAAGATTCGTTAGTTTCCGTTCCGGAAAATGAGGAGATCAGGCAACAACAATTGATTCAAAATTCAAGGATGATGTCGGACGTAAAATTACAACCTCCTACGATTATCAAAGTAATTAATTTATTTTTTTCTTAAAATTTTTCAATTTTAAGTGCATTTGACTTATTGACTTTTTTTTTTTTTTTTTACTTTTAATAATAATAGAACGAATTTGATAATTATTTTGATGGAAGCTTTCTTGGCTTGAATATCGATAATAACACAGTACCTACAACTTTAGTCTCTGGTCCTCAATATACACGATTTCCATCTCAACAAATGACTCAACTACAACAACAACAACAACAACTTGCTACTTCGCAGAATTTGGTACAGCAATCTTATATGTTACCGCAGCAATGTCAACCCCAATCGTCTGCTTATATTAATCGAAACTTATTTGATTCTCCTTTGCAGCCGACATCTCCAGGTTAGCATTATAAACAATATCTTTCATTTTTGAAAATCGATTATGTATGTATTTATTTATTTATAAAAAAAAAAAAAAATTTTATTTTTTTATTTTTTAGTTTCAATCGATAATTATACTCTACCAATGCGTAGTACTATTACATTAACTTACAACTGGAATGGTCTATTACAAATAATGGAACCAACACTTATTCCATATCTTCAATCTTTCACAAAAGGAGCTGGACCAGCTTTACCTATAAATGGTTTCGTAAATGTTATTCAATTACAAAATTGGATTTGTGAAAAATTTATAGCTTTAAGTCAAGAATGGAAAGGAGATTCTAATGATCAACTTTATGTTCTTGATCCTGAAGAAAGACTTAAATTAAGACCAATTACAGATTTTAATCAATCATTACAACAAGGATCATTTCCTGAACGTCAACAATTTGAAGTTACTATTGATAGAGCAGAATATATCTCTGATGAACAAATACAAATTAGAGATTTTAAAACTTTTGATGATTCAAGTCAATATGATGATGATGATGATCGACATAGTGGAATTAGTAATCGAAGTAGTATTGATATAGATTCAATGGATATTTTCCTTAATAAAATTTACGCATTTGTTCGTAGATTTTTGAAGGATGTTCCTTGGGTACGAGAAAATTTCCCATTAAATTTTAGAAGAGCACCATTAAATACCATTGATTTTGATCCATGTGATGGTTTATTTGAAGTTACAGTTGAAGTTCGAAAGAATCAATCACCTTTATTTTATTCTCAACAACAAAATCGAACAATATTCCCGATTAATAATGATATGTATGAATCACAGAATGATGTTACAGTTAAAGGACGATTCGTATTTTAAAATATGCATGATAATAATTAAACAATTTGAATTAATACGGGATATACGGGATAAGGAATATTACAATATAAAAAAAATATATATATTGGGTTTTCCTTTTATTATTTATATGAAATTATATATATATATATATATTCATTAGTTATATATATATTAGGTAAAAACGCAGGTTATTATTGATAACTTCGAGATTCATTTTTTTGTTCCTGCGTTCATATATAATATGCGGACATTACATACAGTACTATTACAGTATTATTAAACAGTAATAACCCAAAAACAACAATACCCCTTCTGTCCCAAATTCCCTATAAAACATAAAAAATTAATATATATAATTAATTACATAATTACACGGTACTCTCACATCACGACGGGGATATTAATTGAGAATATATTAGTAATATAATAAATGCAACGAACAAAGCATAACAGAAGGGGGAATTGATTTTGGTTATGAACATTTTGTTTTTAACGAAATATCGAGCATCGTATTATTTACTTAGATGATAGTTATATTATTATTTCTTTTTTTTATTTTTTTATTTTTTTTCATAAATATTATTTATTTGCATTTTTTTTAGAATATTACAATTTTTTTTTTTTTAGCAAGAATCTCAATCCTTTAGAACTTTATTTCGACAAGACCCTTTCGTATCGCAATAATAGAATGGCATAAATAATATCTGTAAATATAGGCAAAGATATTTTGATCAATGACACACACACATACACAACATTTCATTTTTTCTGGATTGAAATCATGTATATAACTCATATATAAAAAAAACAATTAAAACTTGGCATAACGAAAATAAGAAACCTAAAATAGATATTTCATTCGTAATCATTTTTTTTTTTTTCGTATACACATATATTTTTTTTTATCGTAGTCTTAAAAAAAGATGGAAAAGAATTTCGTTTATTTATTTTTAAAACATTCATTAATTCGTTATTTAATGTATGGTAATAGAAATCACAAACATTTATGTTTTTAGAATAAGACTTTTAATAAGATATGTAATTAATAAAATATAATAAATAAATAAAAATAAATAAATATAATTCTTTGAGGAAATCACAAAGTTATTTGTTATTATGTTAAATCTTTTTATGATAAGAATAATTTATAAACTCAAATAATCAATTAAAATTATAGACTCAAATAGTTAACTATTAAATATAATTATAAATTCAAATAATCAATTAGAATTAGACTTAAATATTAATTACTTAAGGCATGTCTTGAGCTTTAACAAAATTTGGCGCGTAAAAATATTAAATTTTTTTAATATTATTGACTTTTAAATGCATAAGAACCGTTTACTGAATAATTGCTGGTAAACTTGAAAAGAAATTCTCCGATTTTAAAAATGAATTCCTTATTTGGATATTATTTGTCCCTAAATAAGGTACAGAAGTAGGAGAATTTTTAAAATATAACTTTTTTAAAAAAGAACGTCTTGAACAAGTGGGCGAGTATCAGGTATGATCTGATCAATTGCATATTAATCTATCCATTTTACAATAATCATTATATGTAAGCATTGCATGATTTTAAGCATTATTTTACATTCTTTAGAAAATCTTTATTAAATATCATTCGACGAAAACTTCCGATTTACTGTGAAAAAATCGTATGATTTGCATAATGTCAATTATCTTATCATTAATTCTTTATTTAAAAGACATAATTACAGATATAGACATTCCTTATTACACTACTTTTGTCTTACAATGTCAACTCTCAATCGGAAAGAATGTATTAATTCCCCAGATAAGTCAAATTTTCTTTAGTAACTATAATAAGTCAAATCTTATTTAGTATACTATGATATGCCAAATGACGAACTATACGTATTCGTACGTACTTTAAAAAAATATCACTTATTCGATCGTCTATCACTTCTTTTTTAAGTAATTTCTGACACATATAATGAATAATATTTGAATTGTTGTGTTACGCCATAAAAGATCTGATAAGATGTCACTGTAACATTCAATTTACACATTTATATATTGTTCGTGCTAAGCCCAAATTAATTACCTATTTCTACTTTCTTTAGTTATCTCCATAAATTCTTATCAGCACAATAAAAGTTTTGAAGCGAAGCAAATGTGGCGATAAAATTTGTCACAATGAATTATTTCCGAAATCCTTTCTTTTTTAATTTCAAAAAGCTTTTCAGACCTATAAATTGCAATAAAAAAAACGAATGCCACATTTTTTTTTTTTACGTCAGACATCTGAATTTGGATACGCAGTAAATATCCCTTAAAACTTTTAACTTGAAAGGTTAGTAATTAATTTACCTTCTTTTTCGCCATTCTATTTAATGGTTATCTATCATCTTATCTTAAATAATTCTTTATTTGACTAAACCATCTTGACTATCTTTTTTCATTATTCAAAATTAAACAAAAGATTTTCTTTGTTATTTGATCGTCTGAGCAACCTATTTAATTCAAAGAGAAATCATCAGCTTATTTTTTATCAATCATATTTTTTACTAAATTTAATAACGTTTCCTTTTTGATTGGTTTATCAATTGCACTTTGTTATTTTATATAAAAGATAAACTTTTCCATTAATGATGTCAATCACACCGTATTAAATAGTGGTATTGTGCGACATATCGCTATAATTAGTAATAAATTTTTTTTTTTTAAAAAAGAACATTCTACGGAATGCAAAAAAAAAAAAACTGTGCATTAGAAAAAAAAAATTATATATTAATAATATTAATAACAATTTAAATTACATAATATTTACATACGTATCATATTTTTGATTTGACTTACTGTTACTATATTTATTAATCACTAACTTAATCATTAAAAGGAAGGGACATATATTACCTAATTTATTGTAAGCGCCTCCTTCAATTTCATCCAATACAAAATTTTGTTGTAAGCGCCTCCCTCATTTCCATCCAATACGTACCAATTTTTGTTTTACGTGTAGCTTAATTTTTCTTTGCTTATCATTTCTCTCCCAAAACATTACCTAATATAAGTACTTTTTTTTTTTTTTTTAATATATACTTTTACGGGCTTAAAAAAAGTGTTAACATTTTTATTTCTCCTGTATTTACGTAAACATGTAGGATATACATATCGTATGACTTTTATTGGCAAGTCAGTTGACAATTTATTTGTAATTAATTACATGCTTCTCTTATTATAGTAAACCTCTTTTTTAATACGTAGTTAAATATTCGAAATTTAAAATTTAAAATTATTTAATTTTTTGGCGATCTTACCCTTCCTTTATTATGTATTATATTACATTAAGAAAATTGCTCTTCTGATTCAAGTTTAAAGTTTAGACTTACTTACTTAGCAGCTATTGGTGCCCAAGTATGATCTGCTACAGTAATTACTGTATTTCTTCTGTTCTGTTAATTAATCCGATCCAGACCGATGGTCCTTCGGTCCATCCGAGGATTAGCCTTCTTAAGATGGATCGTAAAGACTATTAGGGATTCATTCAGTGTTGTTAATTTAACCAAGATAATGTTAATTAACTATTTGAACTAATGAATCATTTATTTAATCAATTAACTGAGTCAATACAATTGAACGTGCTGATATCTAAAATGTGTAATTGTATGCATATCGTTGGACATTGAAGTTATTTAATTAATCCAATGTCTTATGACTTGACTTGAACCGGAACAATGTTGTCATGTGAATAATTTATTATGCTTGGTTAATTCGTGATTACATTTATTTTTAAATTATCTAAATTTTAAATACCAACAATAAATTATATTTATTTTCAGCAATTACACTATCATTAGTTATTGCTCAAGTTTTTTTTTTTTTTTTTTTTTAATTACTTTCATTACTATATTTAACAGGGATGGTAAAATTAGAGGTCATTTGCCATTTTTTCAAATGACCTAGGTCATTTCGGACTAAAATTCATAATAAAAATTGAGGTCATTTGAAGTCATTTGAAGGTCATTTACAATCACTGATATTTAACGTGGTCAAAAAATTTTTTTTAACTGCCTGCATAATATAAAGTTAATTTAGCTGTTAGTGTTAAACAATTTGAAAGAATATGTATTGATTACTGATATGATTCTGATCAGAAATTTGCCTGATTTTTGCATTTCGAATTGTGGTTGACCCACACAGAATCTTTTTTTACCTATTTTCTGGACTTAAATTCTTCTGCTCTGCTCCAGAAATTAGATATTTTATACCGTAGTAAAACTTTCAATTGTACAATATATTTAGGCCCTCTCAAATTCCTCCCTCAATGAGTTTATTAGATAATTTGATTGGTTAAAAAATTGATTGTGCTTGCCATTCATTTATGATAAGTCGAAAACAATTTTTTTCATATAGTTACTTTGATTGGCTGAAATTTGAAAACCTCAAAAATTCGCATTTCGCACAATAAATACAACAATCACTTCAATTAATCACAACTGATTGAGCAACAACTCGATCATTAACAAATTACATTAAGAAAGTTGCTTGAAAACGCCCTTAATTAGTCAAATAATCAGTCCATTCGATCTAATTCTAAACAGTCCTATTTAGTTCAGACTGCAGTCTGATTCGGTCTTCTAAAAAATCATCAATCCTTGAATTAGGATGGACTGGATTAATCGATTAACAGCCCTAGTTCTTTGAGAAGCTACTACTAACCTTTATTAAGTTCATTTTATTTGTTTTTAAACTTTAGAAGATTATTATATGCGTGACTCCGTAATAGTAAATCAATAAAATCCAATCAGCTAAGAAGGCAGCTTTAATAATAATAATAAAAAAAAGAACTATATGTTATATAAATATAACTTGTAAAAAAAAATCTATTAGTTGATTAAAAAACTCTTACAAGATAAAAAGAAAAAGAATCTATTTATTACACAAATCTTTTTGTAAGAATTGATAGAAGAAAATAATTAAAGTATTATACAATATAATAAATAAAATACATGTTAAATTTAATTTTATTTATTTTATAATAAATTAAAGTCTTT